TCCTTCCTTCCTTCCTTCCTTCCTTCCTTCCTTTGATGTAGGGTCTCTTGTTTGGGCAGGGGGTTGGACTAGATGACCTACAAGGCCCCTTCCAACTCTGATGATCTCTTTAATCTGTTACCCTTTGGTCGGACGTGCGTGCTTACCCGTTGAACCTGGAAATCAATACATCATGCGCTGTTTTCTCTTCTTGAGCTCACTTTACACCTCATTGTAAAAATAGTACAAAGGGTGCAAGCAGAGCGTGCCTACTCCAGAGGTTTGCATGTGACTGTTTACAAGAGGGCAGCCCGGTGCCAACTTCACCTTTGCCTTGGCATCTTTGCCAAGGGTCAAACCTGACGTAATCCCTCTCGGCAAACATTCTTCCAGGCAGCTCCTGTTCTCCCTTCTGACAGGCCAGTCCTCGCCTTATGTCCAAAATCCAGGAGTGGGGCAGAATTTCCGTTGCTAAGCAAGTGAAACGGTTAAATGAGTCCTGCCCAATTTGAACCGGATTACAAGGTTGTAAAAACAAAAACACCGTCATAAAAGCGAGGACTGCGGTAAGTTATTATTATTTTGTAAAGGGCTGTTTGAACAGTTGTTGTACACATGCGTGTAAGGCAAAGGCTGCCTCTGTTCACAGCCTGAAGAGTGTAACATGGCTTGCCCATCATGGCTTAAACCTGGTTTCTTCCTCCTGTGGCTAAAATCCAGGGGGAAAAAAAATCACATCTGTATACCTCCTTTCAATGAATTAAATGGGTAAATAAGAATAGTTGTATCATCTGTTCATTAAGAGGTTCCTTCTCTGTTTCTCTGCTCCGACGCCCAGGAATCTTATTCTAAACAATAACCCTGTGAGGTAGGCCAGGCTACGATGCAGCTGCTTGCATACCCAATGAATTTAGCAGCCGGTGGGGGAGGAATTCGAACCCAGCTCTCAGACACCCTGATAGATTTTTTTTCTTTTTCTTTTTGGATAGATAGATAGATAGATAGATAGATGATGGGTGGGTGGGTGGATGGATGGATGGATGGATGGATGGATGGATAGATAGATAGATAGATAGATAGATAGACAGATGGTAGATGGATGGATGGATGGATGGATAGATAGATGGATAGATAAATAGACAGATGATAGATAGATAGATAGATAGATAGATAGATAGATAGATAGATAGATAGATGATAGATGGATAGATAGATAAACAGATGGATAGATGGATGGATGGATAGATAGATAGATAGATGATAGATAGATGGATAGATAGATAGATGGATGATAGATGGATAGATGGATAGATAGATAGATGATAGAAAGATGGATAGATAAATAGATGATAGATAAATGGATGGATGGATGGATGGATGGATAGATAGATGGATAGATAGCTGATAGATGATAGATAGATAGATAGATAGATAGATAGATAGATAGATAGATAGATAGATAGATAGATAGATAGATATAGAGGCTATCATATGGGTGATTTTTTTAAAAATAAAGTTTTATTGAGTTTTAACAAAACAGATAAAACATCTTATTTGAGTACAGCATAGTTCCGGGTTATCACATTTCCATACCGACACAATTTCATATGCATATTCATCTTATGTATTCAACTTCATATCTTATTACTCTTTTTCCAACTTCTCACTATTTCTCCCTTTCTCTTAATTTTCTTTTATGTTTA